GGGGGGGGGGGGCATGCTCCCCTCGTAGATACGCCACTGCATATCAATTTCCCCCCACCCTTTCACAAATCTTCTCTAGTTAAAGCCTCACTTTTCAAAGAGAGTGGAATAAAATAAAACTGCTAACTAATCTTCTGTGTGCTTCCTATCTTCCTAGTCCTGTTTGATCGTAAATCAGACGGTAGTATTTTCACTCACAATAGTGATAGTCGCAATACAAAAAGAAAATTTAAAAAGAAAAATGAAAAACCACTTGATTTTTGAGTACTGTACATTCAATTCATTCCAATTTTATTTATTCATGCAAAAAATTTCAGTGACTGTTTTAAGTTTATCCTTGGAAGAACATGGTTTATCTTATTTGTTTTGTTCGAATACGTCACAAGTTAATCAGTTGATAATAAATCATTATTTTTGCACGAAATACATAAGCGGGCATGATTATGATTACCAGGATAATAGACTCAAACTATTTTTATGATGAGTATTTCAGTGGCAGATTTAAGTGGGCCCAGTCGGACGACCCTCCCTAACTTTTTCAAAATTTAAAAGTGGAGAAAAAAAGAAAGTTATATTCAAAAGTCTGAGAGTGCCATTTCCGGCCAACTAAAGGTGCCATAATCATATATTTTTTTTACCTCAGCCCCAACCATGGTGGGGCTGAGGTGGTCTACTCTACACTCCATCTGTAAAAGTCCCTCCCTGGGCCCCCTCTATTTCGAATTCATAGATCAACCACTGTATTTTGAAAAATGTAGTATGGAAATAAATTGAATTCCTTAAAATCAATTAACAACCGCAAAGTCCACTGATTAATCTCAGATAATAAAAAAGTACAATACATACTCCAAGTAAAATTCATTAGATACGACTTATAAAAGCTATAGACCCCAGAGCTTCCGGGCAGCCAAGGTTTGGGCATACGGCCTAAGGCTTCCTTATTTTTCCAATATGCCACTCCCCCACCCCCGCTGCTGATACTACTACTACTACTACTGCTACTGCTGCTGCTTCTACTGCTGCTGCTACTGCTACGACGACGATAATGACGACAACGACGCCAGGCCTACTACTAATTATGTTATCGTTATTGTTAATAATATTGTTATCGTTATTGTTATTGTGATTATTGTTGTTTAGGTATTATAAATCCCGACAATACCTAGAGCAGTGTCTCTGCAATCCACGCCAGCTATGTTAACTCCATCGTAGCAATCATCTGTTAGGTTACCCCATCCACTATGTTCACAGTCACTTAACGTGGTTTCGTAGCCAGAGCATTTAACATCATACATCAGCATGGAACCATTACCCACCCCGTATTCACTCCGTCGATAGTAGTTGTAACATAATCGGTAATTATATGACCGACAAACAACTGCACAATCTCTGAAGCCCCATCTGACACTGCATATATTACCGTAGCTACCGTTGTGGTAAAGTTCAATCCTGCCTTGGTTAGCGGTATCACCACCTAGAAGAACTATATCTGAACGGAAAATGGTAACAGAAAAAGAAGACAGTATTCTAGTCTTTATGAGTTTATCCTTTGTTTTCTTGGTTAGCATTACAATTTACCGGTATTCGTTAGATTTGGGGTGATATTGTTTCTTGCTATGTATTTCAAAAACAGCGCTTTAGCTATTTTATGCATATAGGCCTATCATCGTCATCGTCATCGTCATCATTATCATCATCATCATCATCATCATCATCATCATCATCATCATCATCATCATCATCATCCTCATCAGGTTTTAGTTTCGTGATGTTTGTATTTGTGTGTGTGTGTGTGTGTGTGTAACGCTTTGCTGTTTCAGGTTTTTTTTCATCTCAAAAACGACTGCACACATGTGAATTCTAGTTACAGGGATTGTTAGGTATGACCCAAGGATTAGGTTATTAAATTTTGGTGACTGTCCGGAGTAGGGCGTTGATGCGAGAGACCATCCAAAGGAATTTGACCCAGACAAGATATCTCAAAAACTAATCAACTGACATATCAACTGACATGAAAGTTACAAGGCAGGGGTGGCGCAGGGGGGGGGGGGGGCACAATTCGTCGGGGAGAAAAAAAAATTATATGTATTTTCTACATATTAGTAGACTCTAAAATCGATTAAATAAGCCTTTGAAACCCCTAAATTGTTATAATTTTCGGAGCCACCCCTGTTACAAGGAAGAAATTACCAAATGCTGCTCACGATCCAAATTAGGGTGTGAACTTGAGGGTCATTTAAATTGTTAAGGTCCTGCGTGTTTCTTGTGTACAAAATATCTCAAAAACAGCTGCACTGGTTTAAATGCCAGTTACAGGGATTGTTGGGTATAACCCAATGAGGTGATTAAATTTTGGTGATCAACCGGCGTGGGGTGTGCATATGAGGACCACTCAAAAGAAAACGTCCCAGACCAGATATTTCAAAAATAATCAAATGATATGATTGAAACTTTCGTGAAAGGTTTAACCAAGTTACAAGGAAGAAATTGTGAAGTGTTGGTGACGATCAAAATACGGGGGTGAATGTAAGGGCCATTAGGACCCAAATCTAAATATCTCTTGATTGGATTAATGGTTGAAAATGACGCTTTCCAGAATAGTTTGTCATGTTTTAATAATAAAAAAATGTTTAAATTTTGGTCACGATCCGACGTATGGTGTGGCTATAAGAACCATTTAAAATTAAGTTTACCGTATTACCCATAGGCAGAAACAATAACTTTATGATAAATATTTAAATTTGTGCAATTACAGTAAATGTGTACAGCGTTTTATATGTACTAACTTCACTTTCTTCGGAACTTATTGGATGTTTAATGCATCTTTACATTTAAACATGTGACGCTAAAAATCAAATCCCCATGTTTCTATATCCATAGTATTTCGATTTCAACACAAATACATTGCATGCATTTTGTTTGTCAGCTATAAAGGTTAAAACGTGTCAGTATGTTATGTCAGAATATGATGCAATAGAAGGCGTTCTAAAAAGTGAAAAAAAAAAGTGATTAAATTTTGGTGTTGATAAATATATGGACTATTGAAAGCAGATCAGATAATCAACTTATCTAAATGGGACTTTCCTGTTAGTGTAACTATTTTTAAAATAGATTTTGGTTGGTGGTTGGAGAGTAGGAATATATTTTTGAGAAAATATTTTATACAAAGAGATTGGCGAGTTATTGTGCGTTTTTGAAGAGGAGTGGAGCGAAGTGAGTTGACGTAAATTAGCAACTTTTTTGTCGAGATCTATTTAATAGAAAGGGATTTGCTGTGGGCGGAGATATGCTCTCTACCCAGTTTATTGAAACCCAGTTTCCCGAAACAAATATCAGCACAGGACTGTGGATGCGATGTCCCCGACAGGTGCCAATGCTCATGACGGGGGAAGGGGCGATGTACCCAATGGAAGGGCTGATTTTCCTGGCGGCAAAGTGGGCCGAGACAGGAACGGCCAAGCACCACTCAGAGGGATTCTAAAGAGCGAATCACCTGGAAACTCCAAAATTAGGGATTTGAAAGGCTTATTTAATCCCTTTTTGAGGTTTTTGTCTCACCTACAAATTGTGCTCACATGGCAGGGAGAACCCTTGGCACCCCCTCCCCATAAACGCGAATCCCTTTTCCCATTTTAGGCATACTCTCAAATTAACCAAACTAGCTTGCATTAAATGCTATTCACATGATGAACTTTGCCATTTAAATGCTAGAATACTTCAAATTCTGAGGTCTTCCCCTCCCCTCCCCATCGTACCCTTCCCCATCGTGCCTCTCTCTGAATCCCACCATAGGCATAGGCCTATTGGTTCTTCCTAGGTCTCCTAGATACCAGATATAGATTCCTGGTTACAACAGCCTACAGATGTTGGCTTATGCTTAGAGCGTTTTCAAATCTATGAGAAATCATTGAAGTTGAAAATGGGGGGGGGGGTGGCTTCACTATAATGACTATAATTTTTCCCCAAGGAGGACTGAAGACGAGTTTTCAGTATGTTAAAGAGGACACCCGTGTGCATCGATTGATACCAAAAAAGCTTTGTTAACAATTTTTCCCGGTACATTAGTAAAACGACCAGACTAGATACAAAATTTATAAGAAAAAGCTAAAACGTAAACGTAAGTTAACTGCTAGAAATAAATCGATATCAAAATGATCTGAAAGTCTGTTCTGATACCAAAAAGACTAGGAATGTACAAGAACTCTCTTCACACTTAAATAAGAAAGTACAATTCTAAATAGGCCTAAGCTATTTACCGTAAATATGGGTTTATTTACAATTGGTTTTAACCTTCATTGGTAGAATAACTATTCATGGCTTACCTCCTTCCTGTGGATCAGACATTCCGACCTTGCAATGACCTACAACAAAATTAATAAGATACCTCTCTAACTATAATTATAATTATATAGTTATAGCTTCCTATCACAATATTAATACAGATGTACATGCAGATGCAGTTAAATTAACTCTATCCCAAATTACTAGAAGCAAAATTGAGTAGAGTAAAATAATTAACATCGCTCCATCGATGTAGCCCTATCCCTAAAATGTTTAAAAATCGATGATTTAATAAAGTCAGACTTACATATAATTATTGTCGATATAATCCAATACATTCTTGAAAGGATAAAAAATATGTAGACAATTAGGAAAGTTTAGATAAAATGCACTGTAATTTATAAGTAATTAATAAGCTTGTTATTATAAATTGCAAATGATTGGTTACGGTGATAAAAACCAAAATGCCGTACAAATTATATACTCATATAACATATATATATATATAATCAAGGTGATCTTTTTGTAAGTCATCAAGGGATTGTACATTAGGTACACCTACCGTACACACATTTTCATTGCTATCAAACAGTAACTGATCCGTCACTTCAATCCGCTCGTTCCTAGACACTTGGTCTATTAATAGACAATAAAATACTGGGCATAACCAAATTATCGATGTCGATTCACTGACAAGGCATGGTCGTATTACAGATGGACATCTTAATTATAAAATCTGATCTTTAAAGAAGAATATGATAATGATTTACGTATTTTTTCACACTCGCAGATTCCGTGACAGAGCCACGGAGTCCGTCTATTAATAGACAATAAAATACTGGGCATAACCAAATTATCGAAGTCAATTCACTGACAAGGCTTGGTCGTATTACAAATGGGTATCTTAATTATAAAATCTGATCTTCAAAGAAAGAATATGATAATGATTTACGTATTTTTTCACACTCGTAGATTCCGTGACATAGCCACGGAGTCCGTTTATTAATAGACAATAAAATACTGGGCATAACCAAATTATCGAAGTCGATTAACTGACAAGGCATGTTCGTATTACAGTATGGAAATCTTAATTTTAAAATCTGATTTTCAAAGAAGGAATACTTACGTATTTTTTTACAGTTGCAGATTCCTCTTCTTTAATATATATGTATATAATATATATATATGTATATATACAAATATACATATATATGTATATATATATATATTTATTTATTATAATATTAATAGAACACAACCGTCTACCACACGGTGTTTCACACTTAATGCGATCCTCAGGTAGACTGAATATAACTCTGCTTTCAACCATCAGGTGGTAATTAGATTGTTGTTATTGTTATAGTGGCAGCATTTGGATATTAATTCAAATCTTTTATTTAACAGATTAGCTTTATTTGCATTTAAGACGGTTGTGTTCTATTAATATTATAATAAATAAATATGTTGCGTTCGCAACAACTTGCAATTGAGCACTCTTTGCCGCTTCGAAGCACATTTAATCAATTAATTCAGATATTTTATTTAACAGATTAGCTTTATTTGCATTTAAGACGGTTGTGTTCTATTAATATTATAATAAATAAATATTTTGCTTTTGCAATTGAGCACTCTTTGCCGCTTCAAAGCACATTTAATTAGTTTATATATATATATATATATATATATATATACATGTATATATATATATATATATATATCACATCTTAATATATACAAGACACGTTAATTTTGAAACCTGATCTTCAAAGAAAGAATAAGATAATGACTTACGTATTATACTTTAAAACACTCTCTGTCTTAGATATTTGCTGTGGATGTAAGGTCTTAAAGCATTCAAATGGTGCAGTAAAGTAAACACTCCTGTTGGTCGTGATTTCTAATACATTCATGTAGTGTTGTGTTGATTTTAAACATCTCTTGGTCATTCATATCTACGGTACCGTATCTTGATGCAATAAAATGGTACACGTGATGCAAAATGTGGCGTGTCTCTAGTTTGAATAAGCCAATCATTGGTTGTTGATTACTATTGACATATGAATAATAATTCTTACAATAATTATAATAGCATATAGAAGTGCTGGAGTTAGAAGAAAAACAAATTATGTTTAAAATTTGCTCACAAATTATGCAAATCACCAACAACAACAAGAACAAGAACAGCAACAGCAACAGCAGTAACAGCAAAAGCAACAATCATCTAATCTAATCATTTTGTTAGGTTTAATTGGGTCCTCTCGAATTCTGTTGTTGGTCCGCGCAGAGCGCTGACCCATAGCCTCACTGCTGTTCTTGTCCTTGTTCTTCTTGTTAGGCCTACCAAAATTTTACAAACTTTAAAAGCGACCAGCGTTGCCAGATTTGAACTAAAGGTGATTTCCAACAAACGTTTAAAAGCGTCCAGCGTCGCCAGTTTTGAACGGACGTGCATGAAATTTTGTACACATAAACTACAGGTGATTTCCAACAAACGTTCATCGCCCTTTTTTTAAAGTTAGGCCACAGGATTCCCCCAACACCTACGAAACAAAACAGGGGTTTCAGCAAGGACTGTATAATACTGTCATTTAACACTAATAGTGCAGGTCGCATAAATGACGTGGTGGTTTAAGGATGTGTTCTAAAGTACTTAAGGTCGTGAGTTCAATTTAAGCAAGTTTGAACCACGTATTTATTTTTTTCTTTTGTCAAAATGTTCTCATTCATGTTCATTAAAAAAGGAAAATTAACACCGAGGCACGATTTAAACTCGCGATCTTCGGCTAAGGATGTGTTCTAAAGAACTTAAGGCCGTGGGTTCGAAACATGTCTTGGTATTCAATTTTTTTTTTTTCAATTTTAAGGATTTTTTTCCTCAATTTTAAGTATTTCAATTTTGTACACATTATCATTCTAAATAATTTTTTTTTTCTTGTACAAATAAATATTCTAATTATTTAAAAATTACTGTACAACATTGCCATTGATGATGACGATGATGATGATGATGATGATAATAATAATAATAATAATAATAATAATAATAAATAAATAAATAAATAAATAAATAAATACCTGTAATTAAAAAACTAGGCTCTGTTTCAAACTTTCTTAACGTAACATAGTGATACCTACTGGCACTGACTTCTGTGAGACAATTGATAATAAAGCAAAACACAGGGGCGGATCTGGGTTCAATTTTTTTTGGGGGGGGGGGTCAGAATGTTTCCAAACAGGAAATGAGTTTTCCTGACTTCTACGGTGTCTTTTAAAAACTTTTAAGTTCTTCAAAATTCAACGTTTTCCCACTTTGAAAGCGGTCAGGTAAATTTTATCATTCTTATTACAGTAATTAGACATAGAATGTCAAAATTTCAAAACAAATCTGTGTCTGGCCTATTGGCAAAAACATGTCAAAACACACATAAAGAAAATGGGAATCAGTGAAGAGATAAAGATAGAGCGTGCACTTAGATTAAAAACACAACTAAAGCCAAGGCCTATAATAGTAAAATTCGATCAATTTAAACAGAAAGAAAGGGTGTTAAAGAAAGCTAAAGAAATAAAAAAGAAAGGAGTCAACCGAATGCCAGTGATGGAATTAATAACATAGGAATAGGAGAAGACTTTTCGTATAGAGTCAGGATTATAAGAAAACACCTTATTAAGCGTATTAAAGAAGAACAACAGACAGGAAAACGTAGACTACTCTTTGATAAAGCAGTAATAGATGATGACATAATAACGTATGACATTGAAAAAGAAAATTATGTAATATTCAAGAAGAAATAGGAAAATGGCCAAGGCTCAAAACAAGCTACAAATGATCACAATAATGACAAACAAGAAGACAACAGAACATTGCGTATTATGTCTTGGAATATAAATGTCTTATTAAATAAAATGTGTGATAATGAATTTATTGAATACTTAAGTAATTTTGATATAATATGTTTAACTGAGACTTGGTCAAAATATACAGAAGATCTTTATTTGAAGGGTTACAATAACTTTAGCAAAATCAGTCATAAAAAAAATAATGTGGGCGGAAGAATGACAGGTGGCATTATTGCATATATTAAATCATTTTTAAAAGTGCATGAGCTTCCTAGTCAGTCTGACAAGATTATTTGATTAAATATATACATGGGCAATAAAAGACATATCATCATAGCTATTGTTTATAGACCACCAGAGCGTTCGCATTACTCAACTAACAATATCTACAATATTCTATCAAATGAATTTTATGTTTATAAAAATATATATGGTGATAATATTTTCATAGTAGGGGATTTTAATGGTAGAACCGGTTGTGCAGATGATTTCATTCGTAACGACACTTGTCCCGATAATTGGGATAACGAATTATATATCGAAGATGATCTTATAGAACCTAGAATTAGTGATGGTTTGACTATTAATGCCTATGGTAGAGAATTACTAGACTTGTGTAAAGAGTCAGGATTAAGAATTATAAATGGCAGATAAATTCCAATCATATAAGCATTTTACTTTTATTAGTCATCAAGGCAGAAGCGTGGTTGATTATATTATGACTCTATATGAGAATTTTAAAATGTTATTGATGCTTATGTTGATGATCGAATTAAATCAGATCATATGCCTATTGTTTTTCAAATTTTATTTGATATCACACCGCAGAATAATAATCAACACGCATCTGTTTCTGTTAATAAGCAAAAGCGTTTTGATTGGTCTGATGCATATTTACGTACTTTCAATTTAAGGTGGAAACATCGCTTAATTAATGACCTGAAACAAACTATTATTGTTTTTTTAGATTCATGTAACATAGATAGTGCTGTTTCTTCATTTTGCAATTTATTTGATCACGTATGTAAAGGTATTTCCAAACATGGCCCAGATAAAAAACAGAATGTTAAAAACAACAATAAGTGGTTCAATAAAGAGTGCCTGTTATTAAAAAGACATGTCCGACAAATTTTTAATATATTTAGAAAAGATCGTACTTTGTCCATGTTTAATTTTTATAATAAAATGAAAAAAGAATACAAAAATTTACTTAGATCTAAAAAGAAGTCTTATAAAAAAAATGCTCAAAACGAATTTATTAAATCTTTAAATCACGATAATGGGAGATTGTTTTGGTCTAAACTAAAAAACAAATGTTATGATTTATCCAATGAAATTCCAATTAGCTTATTCTTCGAACATTTTAAAACTTTATTTGAAAACGTTAATATTAATAACAATGATCATTTACAAACTGAAAATTTTCAAGCGGAATTTAATAGAAACTTAAGCAATTTAAATGAAGAAATATCCGTTGATGAAGTACAACAAGCTTTTAAATTACAAAAGAGAGGAAAGGCACCAGGAATTGATGGATTAATCATTGAAATTTGTATCCACTCACCAGATTTTGTTATTGATTTAATTACAAAACTTTATAACGTGATATTTAAAACGGGAATATATCCTACCCAATGGGCAACAAGTCTCATTACCCGATTTACAAAAAGGGTAACAAAAATAATCCCAGTAATTATAGGGGCATTTCATTGATTCCACTACTTCGTAAGGTTTTTCTTTACATTATAAATATTAGATTAAATAATTGGGCAGAAGATAATAATTTATTTCATCAGGAACAAGCAGGTTTTAGGAAGGGTCATCGGGCCATGGATAATGTTTTTATTTTAAACACAATAATTCATAAATATTTATCAAAAAAACGAGGAAGAGTATATGTTGCCTTTATTGATTTAAAAAGAGCCTTTGAATCAATTGATCATCAGTTTCTTATATTTAAATTTAAGAAAGAATGTTTAAAACAAAATATACTTAACATTATTATTTCAATGTATGACAAACTTTCTGCCCATGTAAAAGTTGGAAGTATTATCAGTAATCAATTCAGATGTTTAATTGGTATTCAACAAGGGTCACCTCTATCCTCTTTTCTTTTTAATTTATTCATTAACGATTTAAGTAAAATATTAAATACATCGGAACGTACACATAAAATTCAAATTGGCGATTTTCTCATTAACCATTTACTTTATGCAGACGACCTTGTTCTTATGAATGACACTGTTTTTGGTTTGCAATCTTCTTTAAACAAATTGGCTGTCTATTGGGATAAATGGGGTCTTACTGTTAATATTGAAAAAAAGTAATGTTGTCTTTCTTAAAAATGGGGGAAATTAAAAAAATAGAAAAATGGTATTATAAAGATGTTTTATTACAAGTAGTTAAATCTTACAATTATCTTGGTGTAGTGTTTAATTCAAATGGCACATGGACGAATGCAATTAGTTATAACTGTACAAAAGCAAACAAAGCTCTATTTACTTTAAAACGATTAATTCATAATTTGGCAACTTATCAAACATTTGTGGAACAACATTTTTTATGTAAAAATAGTACCAATATTAATGTATAGCAGTGAGATCTGGGGAATCAATGACATACCAATTATTGAAAAATTTCACTCTAGGTTTAAAATACTTTTCAAACAAACGGTGGCACTGGGTGGACCGAGTGGACTTAGATGTGTATAAGAGACAGTGGTTACGTTTAATTAATGCAGATAATAAAAGTTGTATTTACAGTTGTTATAGATTCCAGTTAAGAAGATTACAGTCGAACGATAAATCTTGGTTATACTCTATTAAGGAGAAATTACGTTCAATTGATTTTGGTATAAATTGGTATTGAACAATATGTTGAGAACAATGTTACTTTTATATCTGAAATAACTACTCGTCTAACTGATATTGAACGTCAAAATTTTCATGAACAAATTCATTTATTTTCCAGACTTCAGTATTATGTGACATTTAAATATAATTTTACAATCGAACTATACCTAATGCATATACAAAATTTTAATTATAGACGTATTCTCACTAAGTTGCGTTTAGGAGTCCTTGAATTAGAAATTAAAACTAGTAGATGGTAAAAATTTGATAAAAAAGATAGATTATGCAAACATTGTACATTAAGTTTAGTTGAAGATGAGTACCATTTTACTTTAATTTGCCCTTGTTACACTGATATTCGTAAACATTATATATTCAAGTATTTTATTGTTAATCCATCCAAAGTTAAGTTTACTCAATTAATGTCCACTACTGATATCAATACAATAAGTTGTTGTAAATTTCTTTATCACTCATTTAAACGTAGAAGTGATCATTCCCTCTGTAAATAGCAATTATATTTTATTTGGGCCGAAGGCCTTATATAAAAGTTGAAATAAATGTCCTTGGCCAGTACGTGCCAAGGAACGGAAACACAATGCGACTGTTTGACTTTGCTGCCCACACACTGGGCAGTATCATCCTTGTGTCAGCTTCCTCATGATTGCAAAATAGATTTGGGACAGGTACGGTAGCACCTCTACTGCAACGCCGTTGTTTTGAATAACATGACATTCCCTTAAAAAGGGGTGGCACCAGCGGAGGGGGGGGGGGATGCCACACCCCTAAACTGTTAAGATTTTTCGGGGGCTTCGCCCCTGGACCACTTTCAAAACCTTTTAATCGAAGCTCGACCACGCCCACATTACTTTCTTCGGTTAAGTCTGAGCCCTGTACTGCAATTAACAATAATCACCAGCACACTGTCATAGGCTACAGGCAACATTAAAAATCAACATGAAATTCAAGTGTCAATCAACTTTTTATTTAATAATTATCTGTCTGTATCATTCAAAGTTTACAAAAATGTAAATAAACAAATACTGTATAAAAAAAAGTTAGCAGCCTTTATTTTTAGCTTTCAGAATCAGCTTTAAGGATGTGTTGACAAAATGACAATTATTGTATAGCGCCACCACCTCAATGCAGGGTAGAGAAGTTTGTTTTGCCTACGCTGGCATTTGCCAGTACGTGTGCCATAGTGGCGATGCGTAGCATGATTATCCTTGCCATAATTTAGACCCGTAGCATGTAGCTTTAATGTTAAGCATAATTTCATGAAAACGTAGCATAATTCAGAATTGCATAAAGCAAAATTAAATTGCAAAAAAAGTGTGAGAGTGCCATTTGCGATGATCTAGAGGTGCCTATTTTAAGATGTTCTTAACTAAAAAGTCAAATAGGTAAAGGGGTGTGGCATCAAATGTGTTAAATCAATTTTTATCAAAATACGCTATTTTTAACGCCATTAAGTACTTTAGGTAGGGTAAATATAAAGGTAGGAGAATAATCCATAACTCGCAGAGCGTCATTGTGCTGAATTGCGTATTGGCGTGGTGGCGCGGAAAACTTAATGAATCGATCAGAAAATCGGATTAGTGTGTAAGATGGGCGCCGGCGTTCAGCGCATCGGAAACTCAGCCCAAAAATCGGTTTGGATCCGATGTGAATC